TTAATTTTTCCACCCCTGCTCTGGTAGCATAGTGCCTAAGGCACTTGACTGCTAACCAGAAGGCTGGCAGTTCAAACCCACCAGCCATTCCTCGGAAGGAAGGTTGGGCAATCTACTTCCATAGTAATACCACCTCAGAATCCCAAGGAGTCATTGCTATGAGTCGGGTCTGACTTGACGGCACATAACAACAACAGATCTTTTTGATTACCATTTGCTTGATAAATCTTTTTCCAACCTTTGATTTTAAGTCTATTTTTGTTTTTGTGTCTAAGGTGAATCTCTTGTAGATAGTATATTGATGAGTATGTTTTTTTTTTTTTTATCCAGTCTGCTTTTCTCCATCTCTTGAGTGATACATTTAATCCATTTACATTCAGTATAATTATCAACAAGTATTAATTTATTGCTGTCATTTTGTCATGTGGTTTTTTCATGGTGTCGCTGATTTCTTTGTTCCATATAATTTTCTGTGCTGAGCTCATTTTTTTATGAAATTTTTTATCATTTCCTTCATTGCTATTGGTTTAGTATTTACTAAATATTTGTGCCTCTTTTCTTTTTTATTTTAGTTCAAAGGTTTATTAATTTTCTTTGAAGTTACACTGAGATTTATTATTTTCTTCCCAAGTTTAGAACAGTCTGTTCTATTTTGCAATTGTCTTGACTTCCTCACCACTTGGAATTTCTATACCTGCATTATTTATTCCCTTGTTTTAGTTTATAGTTATCCTCATTTACCAATTGAAGTCTCTGGTTCCCTGCTTACAGTCTTATAAGTTTATTTTACTTTGAATACTTCTATAATTGGGTTGGTTTCTGGGTTTGGCATCATGTGTGTTAACCATAGATTGTTGTCTGCTGTTGTTGGTTCTCTGTCCTAAGGACTCCCTTTAGCAGTTCTAGTAAAGTTGGTCTGTTGTTGTTGTTATGTGCCGTTGAGTCAGACCCGACTCATAGTAACCCCTCCTTGGGTTTCTGAGGCAGTATCACTACAGAAGTAGATTGCCACATCTTCCTTCTGAGGAGTGGCTGGTGGGTTTGAACCACCAGCCTTCTGGTTAGCAGTCAGATGCCTTAGGCATAGTTTTAACAAATACCCTTAATTTCTGTTTATCTTGAAATGTCCTAATTTCACCATCATATTTGAAAGACAGTTTTTCTGGTTATGTAATTTTAGGTTGGCATTTTTTTTTTCTTTTAGTGTTTTATATTTAGGCTATAAAATTTTAAGTCACCACTTACAATGTTTGAATTACTTAAGTGTTTTGTCTTGTAATTGAAGATTTCCTCTAGAATGTCAGTTACTGGGTGGAAATTCATTTACTCTTTGGATACTTTTGTTAAAAAATATTCTTTATTTTGAGTGTCAATTCTATCCTTCTATAATTATGTCTATACGTATCAGTATATGAACTTATGTCCTATTTGACCCTATTACCCACAAGAAGACACTAGTCATGTTCTGAGAAATCTTAACATTTCCACATATAAAGGTCATTCAAATAATAAATGTGATTTAATGCTTAGATTTCTTCCTTTTTATTCCATGGCACAACTATTCAAGAGCATGCCACAATAGACACTGGGAATTTATTATGTAATGTAAAAACACCAAAGTAATTTTCCAAATGTGTTAAGCTGGGTTCTTTAGAGAAACAAAACCAGTAAAGCTTATATGTTGTTGTTGTTGTTATGTGTTGTCAAGTCGGACTTGATTCATAGTGACCCCTCCTTGGGTTTCCGAGGCAGTATAACTACAGAAGTAGATTGCCCCACTTTCCTTCCGAGGAGTGGCTGTTGGGTTTGAGCCACCAGACTTCTGGTTAGCACTCAAGTGCCTTAGGCACTATCCTACCAAAGCTCCTAAAGCTTAGAGAGAGAGAGAGAGAGAAAATTATCTTAGGAAAATGACTCACACAGTTATAGAAGCTGACAAGTCCCAAGTTCCTGGATCAAATGTCAAACTGGATCCTTTTCCCAATTCACACAACTGCGGGGGCTGGTGAGTTCAAAGTTGGCAGGATGTATACCAGCTGTTGACTTCAGGGGATGACAAATCCAAGATCACCAGGCAGAATGGTAGATTGTTCACTCACAGACAGTTGTAGGCAGCACAACAGGATCCAGATCCACAGAAGGTTCTCTCTTTTTTCCAGGATGTCCATATGTACACTGGAAGCAGGCCACAGCCCTAGGGAAACTCACTTTCAAAAGATTGGCTACTCAAACTTATGCATCCAATCTCATCATGGGAAAAACCACCTCTCAACTGCTTAAACCACTCAGAATCATGGTCTAGCCAAGTTGATACACAACTCCAACTATCACATCAAATGAGAACAAGTTCTTCATTTTCATCTCCAATTTACAAAAACATACTGGATCCTAAAGATTATTGCTTCCTTTTATATAATCAACGTAAAAAAGTTAAAAACATGCACTAATATGGCTTACTAATGTAAGAGAATTTGTGAGAAGAATACTATATATTTTGGTTTCTAGTCAAAGAGAGTATTTTTGGTTAAAAGGAGAGATGAATGTGAGGAATGAGTCAAGCAATCGCATGGTTAAAATGTATATGTTTCTCAAAGAATCCCATGAGAGAAGCTGCAAAAAATTATCTAAAGACTTTGATGGAGGAAGAAAAAATAAGTATTTACTCTGAAGTACAAATTAATTAAAGTCAAGGGACCACATTCCCATAAGAGAGACTTATTACTGATTTTGATGTTAGGTGTTTGCCTCTGAGTTTTCATCTTAGCACCCTTTTCCATAAACTAGCATTTACTCTCTGTTACTCACTTGAGAGAAAAAAGATTAAAATATAGTAAGTCTTACACAAGCATGATAATAATTCACATAATATACTGGGTGCAAGTCAGAAGATAATTCCATATCAAAGAAGAAGAAACTGGGCATGAAAATATTGTACGGTAATATGTTTGAAGACCAATATCAATATTTTGCTTATTTTCAGTGGAAATCTATACCTAATTTACTCATATTTTACCTTATTTCATATTATCACAGTGTAATACTTAATCAAAAGTTTAGTATATCCCAGAAACATAAATATTGTGTGTAGGAAGTTAGGACAGTCATGGTTTCTAACAGTTATAAATATTCATAAGAGATAAGGTATTTCACTACATAAATTGATCAAGTGTAGAAAGAAATATGTAATAAATGCATTTATTAGTATAATGTTAATGAATTGTTTTAGATGATTATAGAATAAATGGAAATAATTTTAAAATGTTTAAAATGATCACTGATTAAATTTCTCCAAGTAATGGTAGGACTTTGAAAAGTATTTATCTATCAAGTATTGATTATATATCTGTAATATCAAAGGCAACATTCCAGATGACCTCTTAGATGATATAAAAGTGAGTAGAATTTTGATCCTAACTTTAAAGAACTCACAGATAAAATTATAACAAAAAAAATATTGATTTATTATATCATGAGAGAGCTTTAGAAGAAGGGGAAGAAAAATAATTATTTTCATTTATGGTGATTTAATCACTGTGCTATGCAAACAGCTATGCATGTGAGCATTATTATTACCATAATTTTAAAAATGATAGAACTGAGGTTTAGAGAAATTAAGTAATTTTCTCAGGACCACACAGGTAGTGTGTTTCAAGCACAATGAGCTTAACGCTTGAGGCTGTCTTACTTTAATTCTTGATTTTATAATGTACCATCCTACTAAAGTATTAAAGAGAAAAATGTAAACTAATGTATTATACTTGGGTTTAAACAACAGAAATGCAGCGGGTTATTTGCCAACTGATCTAAGAAGAATATACAATGATAAATTTCCATCCCTCACACTTTCACTGGGTTTCCCTAGACTCCCTCAACACTAACATAGACATGAGGAGAGGAAATGACACATCAAGCACAGATTTCATTTTCCTTGGACTGTTTCCAGATGTGGAAAATATTACCTACCTTATTTACATCATTCTGCTGAGCTACATCATTGCTCTCTTTGGAAACACCACCTTGATCCTTCTAATATGGGTGGATTTTCAACTTCATACCCCCATGTACTTGCTCCTCAGCCAACTTTCTGTCATGGACTTAATTCTCACCTCTACCACTGTTCCTAAGATGATCACTGACTTCTGGTTGGACAGGAAAAATATCTCACAGGTCGGCTGTGGATTACAGATGCTGTTTTACCTAACCATAACGGGTTCTGAATGTATTCTCTTGACTCTGATGTCTTATGATCGCTATGTTGCTGTCTGCAACCCACTGAGATATTCAATCATCATGAACCCCAGGGTCTGTCTGTACATGGCTACTTTCTCCTGGCTGGTGGGATTTTTAAATTCTCTTGTCCATACAGTGTACACCATGCATTTATCTCTCTGTGATACCAGAGAGATTCATCACTTCTTCTGTGAGGTCCCAGCTATTTTGAAACTCTCCTGTGAAGACACTTCTGTGTATGAAATGATTTTGTTTGTGATAGGCATAGTATTCATCCTCATCCCGTTTGGACTCATTTTGGCCTCATACAGCCTCATTTTCTTGACTGTCTTCAATATGAAATCTCTGAAGGGGAAGAACAAAACCTTGACTACCTGCTCCTCCCATCTTACAGTGGTGAGTCTCTATTTAGGTTCAGGCATCTTCGTCCTCCTGATACCTCCAACTCTGTACTCAGAAGAGGAAAGCCAGACAGTCTCCTTGTTCTACAACATTTTCACCCCTATGTTAAACCCTATCATTTATAGCCTGAGGAATAAAGAAGTGGTGGGTGCTCTAAGGAAAATTCTAGCAGTGGGTATAAATTCTCAGATAAAAGACACAAGACGTTAGAATTGTAACAGTATATTTTATCCACATTTTTTACAAGCAGGGTTGATGAAAATAATCAATTAGATAAACTACCATTTAAAATCCTAGAAATTGTTGGTCCCAAAATTAGAAAATAAAATGTAACAGATATGTGATACTGTTATTTGCAATATCATGCAAATGTAAGAGTTACAAGCAGATTTGGGTAGCAAATGACAGAACGAGAACACTAATTCTCAAGGATTTCTTCTTTATTTGTATAAGTTATTTTGACATTTTTAGTTTATCTAATTTCTAAATTAATTGAATAGACATCCATTTAGGACACACCGTAATTCAAAATTCCACAATCCATCCAGAATTAATCACTTTTAAATACTGGCATACACACTTCTAATCAATTTGCTGTTTATGTATGTTGGCATAGATATAGCATACATGATACAGATAGATACAGATATAGAAATAGATATACATAGCTGTAGGTATAGATATAGAATGTGTGTATGTATGATTGTGAAGAACAAGCTCATATACCTCCCCTTCTATTTCATTGGAATTATAGTAGAGCCACAAACCTTATAACCAATAAACAATGACAAAAAAGATAACAAAAAGTGCCTCATCAGCTGATCAAAAATTTAGATTGATAAAGCAATTCTTGGTAAACCAAGGAATGAGAAATTTTGTAGAGCCCAGGAAGATGGAGTCAGTTTATCTGCACAGTCTCAGAGAAACTTCAGGGCTCAAAAAATCTGCTATGATGCAAGATATGCCTTAGATAAAACACTCAAAACAGATATATTATTGATGTTTTTCAAGGAACTAAAAATAGTTTCCTACTCCTTTTCTCTCCACAAATATAGAATGCCTTGAAGCCAATCTTTGGCACTCTCTTTGAAGACTCAGAGAGTGATATGCTAAAAATGAATAAAAATACCCACAGAAGATGCACTCTGAATTCTGATTTCCAAGGTTTAAAATCTCATTGCTGACACCATGTCTAATGACTCTAAGCAAATCACACTGGTCACAAGCCCACATTTATGTAGCTCCAGGGGCTCCTTCCATATTTTTATTGTTAATTATGATGCAGCAATAAAGAACAATCAGAAATTGAAACAAACCCAGATGAACAGACAGAAAAAGAAATTCACCAGGAAAAATACAAATTGGAGAAAACAAAAGAATTTGAATATAAAATAAAGTCATATTTAATATGCTCAGAGACATGATGTTATTGAGTTTATGAAAAACACATAAGAGGTGGCCACCAAGAAAAAATAGACAAAGAAGAAATAATTTTTCAGGAAAAAAAAAAGTTAGATTAAAAAAATAGAAACATTTGGAGAGTAACTTCAAGGAATGTTTCAGAGAGTAGAATACTACAACCAACGGTGACATGAAAAAAAAAAGACAATGTCAAGGAAAAGGTACATTCATAAAGAAATCAATCTAGAGGCCAAATATATGGAAAATAGAGCTTTCAGAAAACACACCCAAAAAAAATTACATGGGAAAATATTTAATTATTTTTTTGTTTTGGTAAAGTTTGTGTAACATAAAACTTGCCATCCTAACCATTTTTAAGTACACATTTCAAGGACATTAACTGCATTCAACATGTTGTGTCACCGTCACAACTATTCCAAAACTTTTTTGTTACATCAAAAGATACCCATGCTATACCAAATCAGCAATAACTCCTGATTCTCCTCTCCCACCAGCCCTTGGTAATCTCTATTCTAGCTTCTATCTCTATTAATTTATCTTCGGAAGGAAGATTGGGTAATCTACTTCCGTAGTGATACCGCCTCAGAAACCCAAGGAGGGGTCACTATGAGTCGCGGCCAACTTCATAGAACATAACAACAACAACAACAACATTAATTTATCTATTCTAATATTTCATGTAAGTAGAATAACACAGTTATTTTGTGCAGGATAGTTTCACTTAGCATAATATTGTCAAAGCTCATCCATACTCATTCCAGCATGTACTGGAAAACCACTCATTTTTAAGGTTGAATAATATTCCATTATATACATATTTCACATTTTTCTATCTATTCATCTGTTTAGGAACACTTGGATTTGTCCCACGGTTGGCTATTTTGAATTACACTGCTATGAATATTGGTGTACAAGGATTATTTGGAGTATCTGTTTTCAATTATTTTGAGTGTATGGTTAGAAATAGAATTGTAGGATGCAATGATAGTTCTCAGTTTAATTCTTCAGGAGAAACCAAGCTGTTTTCCACAGCAGCTGCACCAGTCTACCATTCTGCCAGCAATGGATGACGGATACAATTTCTTCACATCCTCACTATCACTTATTTTCCATTTTTCTGATGGCCATCTTAAAAGATAAAAAGTTATAGCACATTGTGATTTTGATTTGCTGTTCCCTGATGACTAATGATGTATATGAATAATGATGTATATGTTTATTGACCATTTGCATATGTTTTCTGTAAAATTGTCTATTCAAATCCTTTGCACGTTTTTTCATTGGTTTGTTTTCCTTTTTTAAAATGTTGGTAAATGTGTATGTAACAAAAAAAATTGCAATTGCAACATTCTTCAAATATATAGTCCAATGGCACTATCTTAAGTTTATCAGGTTGTTCTCCAATCATATTTATCTGTTCTCAAATTTTTCTATCACCTTTAACAGAACCTCAATATCCACTAAGCACTGACTACTTTCCCACCTCCTCATTGCCCACCACTGTTGTTGTTGTTAGGTGCCATCGACTCACTTTTTACTCATACCAACTCTATGTACCAAAGAATGAAATACTGCCTGGTCCTGCATCATCCTCAGAATTGTTACCATGCTTCAGCCCATCATCGAAGGCATTGTAACCACTAATAAAGTTTGATCCCTATACGCTTATTTATTCTAGATGTTGTTGTTAGGTGCTGTCAAGTCATCTCCAACTCATAGTGACCTTATGTACAGCAGAACAAAATACTCCCCAATCCTGTGCCAGCCTCAGCTATACCTGAGCCCTTCATTACTGCCACTGTGTCAATCCACCTTGAATTGAGGGCCTTTCCCTTTTTCATTGACCCTACATTTTACCAAGCATGATATCTTTCTCCAGAAAATGGTCCCTTCTGACAACATGACCAAAGTAGGT